AGGCTCTTTGATGTTTCCAAACGTCTGCCGTAACTGGGGATCATAACGGGAACACTCGGGAGTCTATGTCCTCTTAGTAAGAAGAACTTACAATACAAGACTGGGATTGTCCCCCTACTAACAATAGGGAAAATGTTTTGTTGTTTAAAAGGCCGCTCGAAGAGTGAGACTGTGAAATGCATGGCCATGCTCAAATGGATTTTAGAAATCATCTGCTTATTGACAGTCGAACTCGGAGATCGAGAAACACTTCTGAACGTAATAAGGATGACAAAGAATCTTACCTTATAGTTCACGAAGAAACATTAAGAGACAAAGGAAATAAGCTATGCACAATATGCACACTTGTCCGGAAGGACAAGTAGGAGATTGAAAGGAATGGTGTCCTTCCAACAAGTGTATTATTCCGATAGAGGGTTCAGAATTATTACAGAGCTAATTCTTCAGTAAGGTCAAGTGATCGGAATGCCTAGGTGGAGGCCGCTTCCGATCAGTAATATCAAGGTATAATTGATATTACAGCTTAATCTTAACTGAACCCTTCGGGTCGAACCCAATCGAATCTCCGATCCGAGACGTCGAATTAATCCGAAAGGATTTAATGAGTCGACAGAGTTTTACGAATACAGACGTCGGATATCGAGCCTAGGGCGCCGAGACCGAGCGTCGCAAAATCACAAGCAACAAGTATGAGCGTAGCCGTAGCTAGGCTAGGCTAGCTCATAGCATACCTAGGTGCACCATGTGTGTGCTAGGCGCACCATGGTGTGCTAGGCACCATCGCAGCCTAGGCGCACCCTGGCAGCCCATCGCAAGCTAGCAGCATGCTAGCATGGGTGCCTTGGTGCGCATAGCAGCCATCGCAGGCCACACAGGCACCAGGCAGCCCATAGCAGCTAGCAGCATGCTAGCGTGGTGCCTAGGTGCATGTGGTGCCCTATCGCAGCGCACAGGCCTTGCTAGGCACCATCGCAAGGCCTGGCACCACGCACAAGCACCATCGCAATGCCAGTGGCATGCGTGTGTGTGTGTGCATGTGTGCCTCGCAGCCTCGCACACTGCCTCGCACAACAGCCGCACCAATGCGTGCTGGCTGGTGCGTGTGCGTGCTATGGCTGGCTAGGTGCAAGGCAGCAGCACCACGCATGCATATGCGTGTGCGTGTGCGCTTGCCTCGCACCAAGCACAAGCAGTGCTAGGCACTGGCTAGTGCGAGTGTGTGCATGTGCGTGTGGCTAGCAATATGTGGGCTGGCAATGCGTGAGGTGCAGCGATGGACGCAAGCATGTGCGTGGTGCATGGCGCATGGCTGGTGCGTGATGCATGTGCGACCAGCCAGTGCGTAGCATGCGAGGCCAGCGCCAGCGATGCCCTGCTAGCACTGGCTATGCTATCGATAAGGATGCGAGAGAGAGAGTGCGAGGCAGCAACAACGCAAGGCCAGCAGCATCAGCGCCCAGCAGCTCGCAGCGTGCTAGGGCTGATGCGTGCTAGGCCAGTGCGTGCTAGCATTGCCTGCTAGCATACCAAGCTGGCTGGCTGCCCAGCCTTGGTGCTAGGCGCCAGCTGGCAGCCTTGGCAGCCAAGGCAGGCTGCCAGCCCAGCTGGATGCTTGAGGCGGTTTGGGGAGTGGGGACCAAGGCTTAGAGCCAAGCCTTGGGGAGCAAGGCAATGGTCCCCCCCAAGGCACTTGGTCCTCACCTAACTCTCTCTACCCTCTTGCCACTTGTTGCCTTGTGATTGCTTTGCTTAATTATTTATTTTGGAATTAAATAAATTAATGCAATTGCACATGATCCCACATTGATCATGAAAAGGGGTTTCAAGTCCCCATTCTCTATAAATACCCACTTGGTTGGGATTTTGAGAATACAACCTTGAGTGGAATTAAAAAGGCAACTCTAAGAAAGAGTAAACCTTTGATTCGTAAAACTCATAGTTATTTTGTCCGGGCCTCGACTAACCTTCGAGGCTTAGGACGCTCGGGTCGGGTTCGTGGGTACGAACCGTCGGAGATCTCGTGCTTTCGGGATTTTGAAGTAAGAGCTCTTTGGGAGCGAAGCACGCGTCAAAGGTATAATTCTTGTCCTTAATCTTGTATGATTAAGTTTATTATGCTTGTTTAATTGCTTTAATTAAGGGGCGGGTCTTGGTGGGTTTCCTTCCGCGTAGTGCCGGGTCACTACGAAACCCTACAGTTTCGAGTTGAATTTAATCGATTTATGGGAAGTTTTAATTCGGGTAAATAAAGATCAGGTAAATAAAGGTCGGGTAAAAAGAGATATTATTCAGGCCTAAATGGTTTCGGGTAGTTTTCGTTTCCGGCCAAAATCGATTTCGGATATTGGATTATCGGGTCTTATTGGTTTCGGATTAACTATGAGTCGATTCCAAGTTGAGTTTGGATCATACATTAGCGGGTGAAGTCGGTTTCAAGTTAACCTCAAGTTTACTCCAAATCGAATTTGGATAAAAAAATTCTTGGGTTCAACCAGTTCGAAAACAAGTCGATTTCAGGTAAACCTTTCGGGTCGGGTAAGTTTTTGACACCCCTAATATTTCCATTTTATTTTATAGAATGGTAATTCCTAAACATCAAAAAGTCAAAAAAAATTACTCTTCGCAATCAAATAAGTGTCTAGTTTTGGTTCCTTTTTAAATATTTTTCATTGTCTTCGGGAGAGTAATAGGGTAGCGGATAAACTCGTCAATATGGGAGTTATCCTTGAAGAGAGGGTGGTTTATTCGATACTCCTTCGATCGAAATAAAAAACCTTCTTTGAGAGGATATGATAGGAGTGACTTTGCCACAGTTGTTGGTGGTGTAAGTGTTTTTTTTTTTTTTTTTTTTTTGGTTTTTTCTCCTTTTTATCAAATGAAAAAATACAAGTGTCCAGTTTGCTTTTTTACAATCTCCATACCATCGTACAGAGTATTATTGTTTCTTTATTAATAACCGACAACATGCGGCAACAGCTGAGTGAATTAATTACAAGTAACAAATTTGAGTATGGAGGTAGTAGTCAGACAAAACAAAAACTGTCAAAGAAGGAAAAGAACGAGAAAAGAAAAAAGGATTCAATGTTATACATACCTGCTGTCGTTTCTTCTCTTTTCCTATCGTAACTTAATGTACTCCTCGAGCATAGAAAGAAGATAAACCTCCTATCGTAACTTAATGTACTCCTTGAGCATAGAGAGAAGATGAACCTAATCTACATATCCCGAGAGGTTTGAAGGCAAGTATAACATTCAGACTTATCTTTGCACAATACATGCTTATGCCATAACTAGTTGTGGGTGCGTGCTACGCGTGCGCCCCCACCAATTTTGCAAAAAAAATTTTAGTATAAATGTTTTTTTTTTTATTTTCTTATACATGTTTATTACGAATTTATTAGTAAGTTTAAAATATACATTCACCTAATAATCATACTAACAAAGTAGCATGCAAACCGCTTTGTAAAGAAATGTACTCCGTATCTTAGACATATTACAAGTCGGAGAAACTACACAAAGTAATATAAAGTCAAATACTTGATCAAGCATTCTATAAAGGATTTAAGGTTACTAAACCTACCAAGTTCACAAACCAATTTTATATCAAATATTACATGTGCGATACGCAATGGTGGTTCTCCAATTGCGAGAATAAATGACTGCGGGTTCTGCCTCTGAATCATCAACATATAGCCAGTTGTAGTCGAGCTTTAGAGAGATGAGCCACATCAACTTTTTTGGTGTATACTAATATGCATTCTTGTTCAAGATCAAGCAACATCTTGTCCCCTAGCTGTTTTAGGCTTGCCCATTTCATCCCATATTCTCTAACAAGCAGTAGGCAAATTCGATTGTAATTATTTTAACTCTAAAAATTTGAATATTTACCTTAAATCTAATCTTGGTTCATCATAGAGACAATAATTATCGATCTATAACATAAGAGATTAGAAATTAAAATGCAATGGATAAAAAATCAACAATTTTACAACATTCACATATTTATAATTAAAAAAAAAAAACTCAAAACTACCTCAAATTTTACGATCGTGACAAAGATGATGATGGAGAATGCTAAAATGGTGAGGAATTGGAGAATATCCAAATTAGAAGGACAAAGAAGTATAAAGATTGAAGAAAAGTGAGGTAAGAAAGAAATTAAAATTAACTTATAAAAAAGGGAAAAAAAAAAAGGAAAGGGAAAATTTCAGATTGAGAAGCAAACAGTGGAGAGAGAAAATTAATAGAGATAAGAAAGAAGAAGAGAGAGAGTTAAGATATAAAAAGAGGGGAAAAAAAACCGTACGTGTTAAATATGGAAGAGAAATAAAGAGAGATATGAGAGAAATTTTGTTACGTTCTGTATATTATTCCATCTAATACGTGATATATATACATGTATATTATTTAGGGTTCCATCATATAATAAGATCAAATACCCAACTCTAGAATGTTCTAGATTGTACATGGGATAATAGTCATCCATTGCATTTTCTCAATATGATATCCATTGCATTTTGTCGAATATCTTTAAAACTTAGTAAATTTCTTTGAGACTGAGGGGAGTATAATGCATCAATAATTTCCAATTTTGTTCCCCTTGGCAATAATACATTTGCTCTTCCGGAGCCTTCTTTAATTTTTGTACAGCCTGATATAGTACTCACACTAATTTCTTTCATCACCAATTGAGAAAAATATTTCTTATCTTTAAGTATGGTGTGAGTGGTAGCACTATCAACTAGACATAAATCTTCACTATTGGCTGATGATTGAGCTCCAAAGGGATTCATATTCTAATAGAATTAAAAGAACTAAAATAAGATTCACTAAACCAAATAACTTAAATTAATAAATGACTGATAATAATGAAATATGCGAAACATAAAAATGTCCAAAAACAAATGTCCCATAAAGCATAAGTCATAGTACTACGATAAATTTCTATAATAAATGCAAGCTAATTTATAGAGTTTATTCGTCAATGGGACATAATTTATTCAATTATTTTCTTCGGGATTAGGAAAGAAATCAGCCGCTTCCAGGTGAGTTGTATCATCGTAATCAAAATCACCTTCGCCATCCTCGTACACCAAAGTTGTTTCCACTTTATTTCCTTTCTGTTTGATTGATTGTTGATAAAGGTCTACTAGATGTTTTGGTGTACGACACACATGAGACCAATGGCCTTTTCCTCCGCAACGGTAGCATAAATTTTCATATTTATCCTTCTCATTCTTATTTCCATCTTTATTGTCCCACTTCTGGTGAGTGTATGAGTTCCTAAAATGACCACCTCGACCACGATTATGTCCACGTCCGCGGACGCGACCACGACCTTGACCACGGCCTCGACCATGATTGCTGGCGTGATCTCTAGCCTTTTGCTCTTTTCCATTATGGGATGTCGCATTCGCTTCAGGGAATGGAGTAGAGCCAGTTGGGCGTGATTCATGATTTTTCATCAATAGTTCATTATTTTTCTCAGCCACAAGGAGACAAGATATCAAATCAGAATATTTTGTAAAACCCTTTTCACGGTATTGTGTCTGCAGGACAACATTGTTTGCATGAAAAGTAGAGTATGTTTTTTCTAACATTTCTGCATCCGTGATTTTCTCTCCACATAATTCAATTGTGATGTAATTCTAAACATAGCTGAGTTGTATTCACTCAAAGACTTAAAGTCTTGTAATTTTAAATGTAACCAGTCATAACGAGCTTTTGGTAATATCAAATTTTTCTAGTGGTCATAGCTTTCCTTTAGATTACTTCAAGGACTTGTGGGTCTTTAACAGTCAAGTACTCAGTCTTAAGGCCTTCATGAAGGTGATGGCCAAGGAATATCATAGCTTTAGCCTTATCTTGGCTTGTTGCAGTGTTGTTTTCTTTAATAGTATCACCAAGTCCCTTTGCATTTAAGTGTATTTCAGCATCTAAAACCCAAGATAGATAGTTGTTTCCAGTAATATCAAGAGCAACAAATTCGAGTTTTGCAAGGTTTGACATGATTCACTGATATATAAAACAATATTATAAATTAGGAACTAAGATTTGCGATATATATATATATATATATATATATATATATATATATATATATATATATATATATATATATATATATATATATATATATATATATATTGAACCTTGAGAAGGTTATTGTTCATGAGACCACAATTAAGTCCACTAATCAATTATCATAACAAAACATAAACCTTAATAAATAAATTTATACGTAATATCTAATTGCCTAACTTATCATAACAAAACATGGAAAGTATTGCGAAACTATAACTCTGAAATTCGACACTAAAATTCGGCACTAATTATACTTTGCCTAACTTTAGCTATTGTTAAATTCTTTGACACTGACACTAATACCAAACTTACTCCATATTAATACTGTGTCAAACAATATTCATGATAATTCAAGGTATAATAGGTTACTCATCATAGATTTAATTATAATATGTCAAACTATAGTCAATAAGTATTTGCAGCCCACTGAAAAAAAAATCGAATCTGAGTACCATAATTAAAGTTGTCTTCCATGTTTTACTCATAGTATATCAGTATTCCGTATAAAATAAAACGGAGAAAACGCTTAATCGCATACCCCTTAATGACGCAATTATAAGTTTTAAAACTTATTAATAGAATACGATTAACTACAATAATCAAATGATGAATAATATTAGCAGCGCCCACAAGTCAACGAAGCTATGGAATTATATATTTTGCAAGCCAAAGTCGTCAAACAATCCAAAATTTATCATAATATAAGTGCCAACAAATAAAATAAAAGCCAATTACTATGTAACCAAACAATACAAAAAGATTTTACAATAACCTTTACATGACAATTTTCATCTTAATAGCTTTCAATCCTGATGCCAAATTAAATCCATAACCATAATAGATATTATTAAATAAATTATAAGGGATAGCCGCACATACTTGTTTGGTGGTAACTAAGAAAGAAAATAATTAATGAACAGTTCAAAAACAGAATCATATGAAGGATTATGTGCAAAGCAGAATACGAGATGCAACATAATATTTCGGCCACGACTAATACGAAAATTTGTGGTAATTGCATAATAATTATATTAAATGTACCTGGTTTTAGAGTAGGATAACTTGATTCAATCGGGTAGAGCTATGATGCTCATAACGTGTTAAATATGGAAGAGAAATAAAGAGAGATATGAGAGAAATTTTGTTACGTTCTGTATATTATTCCATCTAATACGGGATATATATACATGTATATTATTTAGGGTTCCATCATCGGATAAGATCAAATACCCAACTCTAGAATGTTCTAGATTGTACATGGGATAATAGTCATCCACATTTAGATATTTCATAACAGTACGTTCATTTTTAAATTACTATATGTTCATATATGGGTGCAGTGGTGCAGCTAGTTTAGCTACATAAGTGTGTAGCTAAGAATTTGCGTGGACCGGACTCATGTAGGGTCTCTCCTAAAAGGGTCATTAATGGGTTCTTATGAACAACCCTATAAAAATGGAAATAGATATAGGGTCATTAAATGGGCCACCTAAATAAATAAAAAGTTGAACGCTCTCTCTCCTCTCTCTTTAATACAGATTTACAGTTACAAAGCTTTTGCTTCTCCGGAAGATTCTTAGTTGTCATTGTCTCATCGATGTGCCGAGGAAAAGTATTGGCGTATATCACCTATGTGTTTAGAAAGTGTATAGGATGGCACTGGTTTAATTTTCTAGTGGTACAATTCAAAGTACAAAACGTTTTTTTACCACTTTGATTGAATGTATCAATGTGATTTCAGTGGTACCTTTTCGAAGTATTAGATGTATCAGTGGCACAATTAAGTGGAACATTCAAGTTTTCTAATGCTTGGTAAATTACGCTTCTGCCCTCTTATACACTTCGTTTGTCAATAGATGCTATGCGCTGATATGCACTCATGTACCGAAAGATCCTTCGCCTGCTATTGCTTTACATAGCCTAAAATCCTTCTTTAAGATTCCTTTCTTAATAATCTTAAAAAATCTGATTTCTTTCTTCGAATTCCCAACTTCAAAAATTTAGATTTAGAAATCATTAACAATCAAATCTACAATATAAATTGATGAGTGTATATTTTTTTGCTATCAAAACGATTTGCAGTGAACTGGTGTTGGGATGTAGTTGTTAGAAATTTTTATTATTTTTTAAAAAATTATGGAACTTTACATTATAAAGAAGAAATATTTAAATGAGTACTCTGCGACTTCTTGACCCATTAATGACCCATATTAATTTTACTTCAAACCCTGACCCGCCCCTGACTCTTTTGGCCCTGACCCAGCTTTGACCCTTTAAAAATTACAAGTGATCCGCAAATGACCCGCCCCATTACTGACCCGCTAATCCGCCCCAACCCTCCCAATAACCAGGTCTACTGGTAGTTAATGTTAATGAAAGACTACAACAATTGAGTCTTTGATTATTAACAATCGCAGTTTCTTTCAGGCTTTCAGCTTGAATAGCAGATCACTTCTACCGCAATTTACTCAACAACTCCAAAAGTCTAAACAATGAAATACGAAGTCTTGTTTATATTAATAATCATCTCTAAGAAGAAAGTTTACTAATCAATAACTATATATTAAAAGACACACCAGCAATGACACGTGTCATTTTTTGATGTGTTCAAAAAAAAAAAAAAAAACTATTTAGGAAACAAATCTTATATATAAATAGAAGATTAAAAGGATTTAATGTATCCTTGCACTATATATATTGATACCATAAGCTAAAGTTAAAAAAAGGAAAATCAAACTCTTAACATAATTTGTGATATACGTAGTGCTATATAATACTCTTACCATTTTTACAACAAGGATTATTTTTTTAAAAAAATATTTGTGTATTTAATTATGTTTGAAAAGATTGCTAGGAAAGATATGAATTTTTTTCTAAGCCAGTTGATTATTGAGAAGAAAAATAAATACCGCGTAAGAGGGAATGGATTAATAGTGTGTAAAAAGTAAATCTATTTACGAATTAGATATCTAGTTGTAAGATATTCATTTGGTTGAAAGAAGAAATGATATAAATTAGTTAGTGAAATATATATAAATATACATATATGTGTATTTTAAATTATCTATTTTTCTAATAATATACTCTTCCGTAGTTAATTCATTTTTACAAAGTAGTAACTTAAATAGATTTTTTTTTATAATTAAATATAACGTTAATAACCATAGAGTAGTTATTGAAAATTACCTAACCTAATAATCAATAAATCAAACCAGGACTTAATTATAATTCTAGTCTTACTATCTTACCTGAGTTTTTGTATCTAGTATCTTACTTTCTTAGTCGGATTTTAGTGAGATTACGTACGAAGTGTATCACAGTTTTCATTGTTCTTGGTACGTTGGTTTGTATACTGTATACGATAATAAGTGATACTTTGTAGTAAAGCCCTATTTTCTTCATCTTAAAAAAAATCTCGGTAAAAGTAATTTTAGCTCACTAAAAATAAGTTCAATTCAGTAAAAATCAATAACTTTAAAGAAAAATATAATAAGGAATCAATAAATATAATTTCAATTCAGTCAAAATTATTTAAGTTCTTAATTTAGCAAAAATAACTTAAGTTTTGCACAATAATTTTTTTTTTTTCACAAAAAATTTTAATTCAGCAAAAATAAGGTAAAAAGAACAATTAGAGCATGTTTGGGAAGGCTTTTTTTTTCTTTTCTCTCTTTTTTTTTTTTTTTTTTTTTTGTTTGGTTAGAAACAAATTCAATTAACTATTACCGTTACCAAGTGTTTGGTTAGTATATTTGGGTAAATATTTAGGGATTGGTTTCTAATTATTTGTTTCTTCTCTAAAACCTAAGGGAATAATTAGTCAAATACCCTTACCCTCCTCAAACAAAAAGAACGAGAATTAGGTTTATTAATTAATTTCTTTCCATGCATGGTTAAATCAAACAAATGAAAATGTAAGAGTTGATAAATTATTCTTTCTTTCTTTTTATTTGTATAATTTCAACATTCAAGTGCTAATTGTAACTATATTTTACTAAGGTAATGTAGAAATCCCATAAATCCATTAAAGAAATATATTGATTAAATACTCAATTCACCCATTCTTAAAATCGTCAGAAACTTCCACGTTCAATCTTAGTAAACCTAATTCATTTTTTTGATTTTTTTGAATTGACCAACACTCCCTACAATAAGTGTGATAAGTCTTTAATATTATGGAGGTAATAAACTAATTATGCAAATAGTATTACTTTATACTACCTCCGGTCTTTATTATCTGCAACATTTACTATTTTTGGCCGCCTCACATTATGTGCAACAATTCATTTATTTTCCATTTTTAGTAACTCTTTTTCTGTAAAATGACCGAAATGCCCTCACTAAAAAATTTAAAAAACTGGTTATGAGGTTAATTAAACAACCTTTTTAATCTAATCTAAAATCATTAACCTAATTCTACCCACCCCATTTACTCATTTCCTCGTCTACCCACCACCCATTCATCACTTTCTTCAACCTCTCTTTCAACCTTTCACCCTCTTCATCTCTTTCAACCTCTTCATCCCTCCTCCTTCACGAGTCATGACCACCGCCCCTCCCACCACCATTCTCTCTCCTCCTTCACGACCACCTTCCATCCCATCACCGTCTTTCTCCTCCCTATGACCACGGCCCTTAGCTCCCACCACCGACGAACGATCCTCTTCATCTCTCCTCCCTCACAAGTTTCAGTTGAAGATGATGTGCGATTAATGATAATATATAGGAAGATGATGTGCGATCCAGATTCATTTTATCGTTTTTTTCAATTTTGTACTTTTTTCATTTTTTTGGGTGATTTATGTTTGAATATTCTGGGTTTTGTTCGATTTTCTGAGTTTCAATTTTCTGGTTTTTGATTTCGATTTTTTGGGTTTTGATTTCGATTTTCTGAGTTTTGATTTTCTGGATTTTGATTTCAATTTTCTGGGTTTTGATTTTCAAGGTTCTGATTTTATTTTCTTGGTTTTGATTTCATTTTTTTGAGTTTTGATTTTCTGGGTTTTGATTTCGATTGAAGGTAATGATGATGGTCGGATTTCTAGGTTAGGGTTTTAGGGCGTGGGTTTTGGGTTTTATTGAAGGTGATGATGATGGTCGGATTTCTGGGTTAGGGTTTTAGAGCGTGAGTTTTGGGTTTTATTGAAGGTGATGATGGTGACGATTTCTGGGTTAGGATTCTAGGGCGTGGGTTTTAGGTGTTTTCGGTGACAATTTTTGGGTTTTTGGGTTTGGGATTTCTGGGTTTTTAGGTTAGGGAGAGGGCTACCGAAAAAAGGAGGGAAAGACGGGGAAGGGGGCTGCCGAAAAAGGGAGGGGAAGACGAATGAGGGGGTCGGGCTGCCGGAAAAAGGTGGAGTTGCCGGAAAGTTGTTGTCATGGATGAAGGTGGAGGGGAAGAGGGCAACCATGAATGACAGGGGAAGGGGAAGACAACCATTAATTAGACACTCTCTCCTCCTAATCACATGAATAAGATACACTAATTGTAATTATCAAATTTTGTCTCGTGTACCGCAAACCCTCTGAAAGTTACAGATAATAAAGACCGGAGGTAGTAATTCAAAACCTCACTCCCTCGGCTCCTACCCAACTCTACACTCTCACTAGTGCACTTCTTTCACCGTCAGACCATCCTGCCACGACTCCCACCACCGCGGTTCTCCGCCACGACCACCATCTATTAAACACTTCTTTCTCTTTTTATGGAGAATATTCTGAAGAAATATCAACAGAAATTCAAGAAAGTTCGAGAAGAAATGGATCACTGGGAAGACCTTCAATCCCGGTTACTTTCTCAGTTTTCTAATGCTTCTTCAATTATTGGAAGAATTGAGGTCTCTAATATACACTTTGAATTCACTCTTTTTATATTGATTTGTGGTAGCTTAAAGTTTCAATCTTGGTGTATTAATTATGAAATTTGATTATGATTTTGGGAAATATTTGTTTAGGTGATTGGAAATAAGAGGAATTATGGTGGTTTGAAGGGTGTTGATGGGATTGAAGATGCAGTTTTGCAGAAGCAAATGGAGTCTTCGGAGACAATTTTGCTCTCAATTAAGAAGACTATGTTAGTTCAATTGGTTTTTCTTAGCACTTTATTTTTGTTGTTCTTGTTGCTTCATTGTATTTAATCCAACATCTCTTTACTTGCAAGCTCTTCATTTCACCTCAAGTACCCGTAGTCGGATACTCAACACTTGGACATGGATAATTATATATTTCAGTGTATAAAATTTGGTTCAACTTCATAACAATATTTGCTCTCATATAAGAATGTGTAGTAAAAGAAAAAATATATAATTTGTGTAAGCAATATTTGCTGGCCTTAATTGTTTCAATTTAACTTGTTTATTACCTTCTAATAGTTTTGTGGTAAGATGATTATGCGACTTGTGTATACACAACTGAAAATCAATTAGGTAAAGTGAGTTCAATCGGCAAAACACTTTGGCTGACAATTGATTGATATATAGGTTTGATAATCATCTACAATCATTGCGCTTCATGCTTCCGCTTCATGAAACTATTTCTGTCTTTTCTGCATATGGGAATTATAGGCTACATTTGCTTCTAATGGACAAGAATTGGCATACAAGCATGTAACCTTACTGATGATATGGTGATTGAATATAGTCCTTAGAGTTGGTATAAGAGAAAAATGATCAATTAGTTGAAAGTGATTTGTTGTTTTGTACTTCCTCCGTTTCTTTTTAGTTGACACGTTTCTTTAATCACATTGTCAGTGCACAACTTTAACCATTTATATCTGTAATTACGGATAAGCAAAAATTATGAAAATTTGATCTTTTGAAAATATATAATGTGATGAATCTAACAAGATCCTACATGATTATATTTTTCATTACGTATAAAAGCACAAAACACGGTCAAAGAGGAGTGTGTGAATAGTGCTAAAGTCAAAACGTGTCAACTAAAAAAAAGGTGATAGTATATATTTATATCCAATGTATACTCAAGGATATTAAAGATTGTAGTAGTAGAACAAATGATTAGGGTATTGTCTAGTGTTTAAAAAGTTTAAGACTCACTTTAATTTATACAGCAAAGTTGGTGATGTGCAAAAAGTCTTTTTACATTTCGTGTGGTTTTATGAGGTATCAGAGCTTAGTTCTCAATTAACTTAACTTAATTTGGCACATATATTCTAATCCCTGGATTTTAATTTTAAATGATAGAAACTATGATGGTGATATATCTTGATCTTTTAGCTTCTTTGGGTGTTTTTGGTTTGGTGGGTGTTTCCCCTCGTGATATTTAAAAGGGAATTAGATTGTATTATAGCATGATCTTGAATACTTCAAGCTTTAAATTAATTGGCAGTTGTGTATAGGTTGGATTTTCACGGTATTGTACTGTAACACTCTAGAAATTCCTTTCCTTTGAAATACCTATTTTGTCCTTTTAAAATACGAGATAGGAAAATCTAAGACATTACCGTCACCGTGAAAACGGCTAAGGCAAATATCAAAGACTCGCACAGCGGAAGACTATCTTTAAAACCATTTAAAAACAATTCAACTAAAAAAAGTCAAACCAAACAAAGTAAAAGTCAAACAAAGTCAACCTACAACTTGGAACCATTGTAGGCCCTTAAAACCAAACAATATTAAAAACCTTTGCGTTAGTCTCATGAGCAGAATAAAATAAATAATATTCAAAGCAAATAAAACACATCATATTCCTATGGAAACTAAGCATAATTCGCTCTTCACTCATGCCCATCATTAATATGCTTCTTCACCTGAAAGGCTGAAAAGCTTCTCTCTACTTGTCCCCACTACTCGCCATTAGAAATGGGTCGTCGTAGGGCCAAGGTAAGGATAAGGCCAAACAAACATACAAACACACAATCATCAATGCTGGGTACATAAGCGTAATAAAACACACTAACATGCTTTCATCCTATAATCACACAACTTACCGTGTTACACCTGTTTACAAGCATACAAAACATTCAACACCTAACTAGACAAATACCAATATTCATTTAAATTTGATTATACATTGAACGGGTTTCTGACCAAATCCCTGCCTCAAATAAATTGAGGTAAATTACACCGAGAACTAACCGGGTAGGCAAATTTCACATGAACTGACTAGAAGTCCTACGCATAAGATAAATAAAATGGAAAATACAGCGTCCTGTACTCCCAATAGAATTCATGGTTAAATATAATACCCTATAACTCCCCCCATATGTTCATACTCAAGGTATATACGTTCCAAGAGTTTTGGTGTGTAATCTCTCTCACTTTACGTTATTTACATATTATTATACTTGGTGATGACTCTAAAACCATAACACAATCAAACACTATAATTCATCCAAGCAATCAAACATACCAATTTAATTTTTGAATAATTAGTGTCCACATAAACTTAATAGTTGAACCCTTTTTAATCTACCTCGGTGTCAAAGACACCTTAAACGCATAATACGCCGCAAATCCTATCCCTCGGTGTTAGAAACACCTCAAGTGCACATAAGCACCGCAATATAATTTATTCCTGTATACTACGACACTTAAATAGCTCAATTCCCATGCTTAAAGCATCAATAAAAAATTATATGAACCATAATAAAATTTCCTTTTCATATTCCAAACCAAATCAAACATTTAGTTTAATTAAACATGCTCTCAATCATGCCAATAATAAAAGTGTGGTTCATAATCAACATGCCAACATAATTAATTCCAATCACCAATTCATCACAAATAATCCATACATCACCAATCATTCATCAACATCAATCAAATTAACAAATTCCAACCAATGCCTATTATGATACTACTTGGAATTAATTAAACAAAGCCTAGCATGCCTCTACATATTCAAATAATTACTAAGTACGCGAACGTACCTTGAATATGATCTCAAAATCGCCACGACTAAACAAAGCCTAACAAAATTGCCACATCCCCCCCCCCCTCTTTTTTTAATGATTATCTCAAGCTACATATTATTGTTTAAGAAAATTGTTAGTATGAATTAACTTTGAAATGTACATTTGAAAGTTACAAATATATTCTTTTATACAATTTCAACTATGGGAAAATTGAAGTTTGCAATCCCCTTCTACCGTCTTCTTTTTCAACTATTTTCAAGTTATTATTGATTTAATCCATATTTTTCCAGTCTATCTAATCTCTTAAATTAATGTCTTTCACAAAAAAAAAAAAAAAAAAAAAAAAAAAAACTCTTAAATAAACTATTTTTTTTTTGGAAAAATTCACTGGAATAATCCCACCTTTGGGCCATTCAAAATTAATAATCCTACCTTTCAATTATTATTTAATAATCCGACCTTTGGGTGCCTTTAATTTTTATTGGTCCCAACCGGTCATGTAACCTGTTATAATAGGTTACATGACATGTGGCGGCCTGTAATTGGTCAAAAAAATTAAAAAAATTTAAAAAAACAAAAAAAAAATTAACAAAAAAAAATTAGCAAAAAATAAAAAAAAACAACCAGCCACCATGGAGCCAGCCCAGCCACCTGCCAAGCCAGCCCCTTGCCGCCGGCGGCCTCCCTCCCTTTCCCCTCCTGCTTCTCTATCTCCTCTCTCTTCCTCCATGAAACTAAACTCCCCACCCACGTCCATTTCCACGGCAGCCACTCCCTTACCCTGCTCAGCCCCGACAACCACCCCTCCCCCTGCCCCACCGCCGAAACCACCCTCCTTCCACAACCACTTGACCAGAACAGACCCCCTCCCCAGCCCCACCCCCGAAATCGCCCCTAACTCGAACCCCCCACTCTGAAACCACCATAAACCCTCACCCTAGAAATCCAACCCCCTCTCTTTCCCCCACCCCTCAAAACCGGTGTTTTAGTGGTGAAGGACCACCAGATTCGGCAGTGGGGAACGGAGAGAGAAAGAGAGGGTTTCGGGGATGGGGTTGAGGGGCGAGGTGGCTACGACGTGAGCTTCGATCTGATGGTCGGGGCAATTGGAGGAGGTGGCTGGGGCTGTGGTGGTTGTTCGGTGGTGGTTGGTTGGGACTGGAATTACGGTTGGGTGGGGTTGCGGGTTGTTTTGGAGCAAGGGTGGTGGTTTCCGGTAGGCTAGGGAGGAAATGGGGAGGGGATGTGGTAGTGGGTGGATTTTTTTTTTTTTTTTAAATTTTGGACAAATCAAATTGCGACACGTGTAAATTAAACTTAAAAAAAAAATTTACCTACTTAACCGGTTTCTGGCCAAATGAGACCAATAAAAATTAAAGGCACCTAAAGGTTGGATTATTAAATAATAATCAAAAGGTGGGATTATTAATTTTAAATGGCCCAAAGATGGGATTATTACAGTGAATTTTTTTTTATTTTATTTTTTTCCTTTGGGATTTTACAAGTTCGTGGTTGTATACTAATGTGTTACTCTATACATCACAAGGTTTTATGGACATTCTTCTTTAAAAAAAATTCCTCCCACGTATTTTGATGTGCTCCTTCTCAATTACACTATTAATTCGGGAAATAAATTGGGTGTTTTAGGATCACCACGTCATCTTTACTCTTTAGAGTTCATTAATTAACACAAATTTACTACTCCATATAAAAGCTATTCGTATATACACGAATACGTCATGTTAGTAAAAAAAAAAATACACTGAAAATTAAAGTTGTAAATTTTTTTTTTTTATAAATTAAGTGAAAATTAAAAATCACAAATTAACGGAAAATAAAAAAAAAAAAAAAAAATTCCCTCCAATTAATTTGTCTAAACCATCCTCCCGCCAGTCGCCGCCCTCCACCACTTTGAACAACCACTTTACCCCCTTTTTCTTCCAATCCAAAAAAAAACCCTAATTTTATCACTGAAAATATTCGCACAATTTTGATTTAATAGTCCCTCTAATTACAATCTGGAAAATCCCTAAAATTTTCAACCATAGTTCGATTTTCCCAGTACTTGACTACTTGGATCCAATCACTACATTGTCTACATCAATTCTACAGTATCAGTTTTGGTCGAAACGTTTCTATCTTAGTGTTTTTTCTTACTTGCAGAAACGCTAGAAATTTCGAATCTTGAAGATGGGAGATTCTAGGGAGGCATCTCCTGATTGGTTGCATTCTTTTCAGGTATTTTTTGATGCTTTTATTCAGTTTCTAAGTTATGGGTTGCTGAATTTGTACTTTAAATATGCTATGAACTTAGGTTGATGAATTAGGATTTTTTTTTTTTTTGAAGAACTGTGTAATCTTCATGATTATATTAGCTTATGGTTGATTTTATGTAGCATTGAGCTCAGTTATCAGTTTAGTCTTCAGTGTGTACTAGTGTA